TCGGACTAAACTTACACTTCCACCTAGCCGAAACGTTGTCATATTAAGAGAAAATATAATAGTTAAAATTGACAAATTATCATAGTCAAAATGGTACAAATGGTCATTTTCGAGATTTTTCACTTGTAAATATCACATAACACAAAATCACTATATTAGTATCAAAACAAACCAAAAAAATCTGGTTATGTTTTTTCACTTTTTACTTTTCGCCTTTGGAAATTCACTATAACTTTTTCATCTTTGCATTTTCAACTATCAGAATTTCTCCATTGTAATTTCCACCACCAAAATTTCTCCAATCGAACGGACAGAGGGCGTGGTTCTGGGTACAGCCGAAGTTGACGTCATAAGACGTCAGTATTTATCGTTTCGGCTAAAATTACTACTCCATTTGGTTATTCTTAAGAATTGTCCGATTTTATTTATTTTTTTGGAGAAAAAAAAGAAATAAATTCGTTGTCATGTCGAACCATTTTTTGTTTAATGAGTTATATCATCGAATCTTGAGGTTGGCTCATTCTCTTAATAGACCGGATGAATCTTTGACAGCACATCGGCTTGAATGTGCGCGAATTTCTGGCGTTATATTTGAAATAAGTGAAACTACAAAAGAGGTGCCTGGCTGCCTTAATCAATTAGAAAAAAAAGCTCTACAGTTCTTAGACGATGTAATAAATTGCAAACAAGACAATTAGGGCATGGTAGAGAGTATCATCTTTCGTCAGGAAGAGTTGATCCGCCTAAGTTATTTATTCCACAAGAACGGTTACACTATTAAGTTGATAAAGATCTGTAATTTGTAGAAAATAAAAAAAATAATATATTCCCGAAAAGAGGTATGAATGATTCTTTAACTGGGTAGGTTCCAGAATATTTTAATTTACCTTTTCAATCGATCATGATAAGGTACGGTAGTGTTCATCGCAAAACATGCAGCAGAGTCTACCTGTCCACTGTCTATATTAAAATCTTATGGATTATGTAGTTGTCATTAAAACATGACAGTAAAGACATAACATTTTATTGACGGTCGGATGGTATCATGTTAGTAATAGTTATTTAATTTTAATCATTAGCATTTTATACATTGGCAAAGCGGAATTTTTTTTTAAAAAAGTATCCGGTAGCCAGTATGTAGGCCTAATAAGGTTTATGTGGTCCTCAAGCAAAATAGATATGACGTCATCTTTTGATGTTGGCGTACTAGTACTTCAAGTAAAGTATACCACTATGGTATCTACAATTAAACAATTGCCTACAAATAACATACGTTAAATATTGCTTTATATAATTAATTAATCACCAGGTGTTTTTATAAGTCAAAATTGAGTAGGCCTACAGCGCAGTGGACGCTTACGGCTGGCCCCCGGATCCATTCACTTGAATTGACATGCTTATTGTTTGAAATATATGTGTAGCCTATATTCTGTGTCGTGTCCACGGGTTTTTATTGTGTAATTGTTTATGTGCTATGCGGTCCTCCTGCTCTTACTATTCTCTCAGCTAACCAAAGAACTCCAAATGCATCCGCCGCTTATATTAACGTAGATTTATGACGTCGTGTGCCCATAGTCCGTATCAGGGAGCATTAATTTTAGTCCAGACGATAAAAACAGATGAGTTATGACATCAACTTCGGCCGAACTCGGAAACACGCCCCTTTCCTTATATGATCAGTTAGATTGGAGAAATTGTGATAGTCGAAAATACAATGGAGAAAATCTGATAGTTGAAAATGCAAAGATGAAAAATTTACAGTGAAAAAACAAAACTAGATTTTTACATTAGTAATTTTTGTCGAGCAATTTTGTTTTATAGTAAAGATCCATTAAAATGTATTAAGTGTTAAGTGATTTTTACATGTGAAAAATCTCGAAAATGGCCATTTTTATCATTTTGACTATGATAATTTTGCAATTTTAACCATGATATTTTCTCTTAATATGGCAACGATTCGGCTCCATATATCTCTCGAACAAATTGTGGTATATGTATTGTTTAATGGTCGAGAAAGAGAGACATTAAATAATATAATGTAACAACAAGAGGGCCGTTGACCCACGTGTTTTATAATATATTACGGAATCTCTTAATTTCGAGACCATTAAACGACTTAAAATACAGACACTCCGCACGTGCTTTTACAGTGAAATAAGTCACGGGTATAAATAATGTACGATTGGCAAGTTGCCCGTGCGATTATCTGAAATAATGGTACACCAACATCAAAGGGTATATGTATATGAAGGGACACAACTCTAATTTATTTGGATACAGGCCAGTAATTTCTAGATTGCCCATGTTAAAGTCATGATTATATGGAGTCCAGCCACTAAATATTTAGATAGACTTAAATACACTCCCATTCTTCTCAGTGCCTGATCAGGTGATTGTATAATGAAATAATGATGTCTTTGGTAACAGTGGTAATTTAAATCTGAATGCTAGTGTATTAATTATCTCCTCTGATTTAGATATATCTCAAATAATTATATCTCTGATCATTTTAAGAAATCAGCTTTGATATTTTATATTTGCTTGTAGAGTGGTTCGTTGGGAAAGGGAACATCTGTTCTGAGTGATGCTGATGCTGATATGGTAGTTTTCTTCAGGATGGTTTAGTTGGATATTTCCGTCAAAACCCGAATGGATGGACTCCAAAATGTGATAAAATGTAACGAATATTTCATTAAGTTTATGGCATATGTTCCGTACAATGGTAGAAGTGAGCCTGTTGAAGTCGACGTTCTACCTGCAATAGATGTAGTCGCCAGACATGGTAAGACAAAGAACTGAATTACTCGTAATTCCTAATGCCAGAAAGTAGGCTAGATGTTATAATATGCCAGTCGCTAGACATTTTAATGTGATACCACAATTCTATTTCTTCGATAACATTACATATAGGTAGCTAGGCAAGCAAACATACATCCACAGCAGCCAAGAAAACCAAGAAGATCCTAGAAGCTATAAATATCAGAAGACATTCACCTGAACTCAATAGGGACTTAGGGCTCTACATCCCCAGGGCATGTGATGATGTAATTAAGATGCACAACATAATTTAACTATTAAGCCATCTTTGGTTGTACTAAAATCCCCGCCCCCCCCCATCTCATTAATAAATTTTCGATATTATAGATTCTCCCAACCTGTCCCTTATATTTTTAGAGGATTTTTGTTCTTGTTTTCTTAGTACAAATTGTGTATTGTTATAGTTGTACTTATATAATGCAAATCTTATTTAACTTCATGCACATGGCCTCACTACCTGTGCTTTATCAACTTCCCACTATCCATACATGCTACCCTTTTGAAGGGCTTCATAACTGTTAATAACCCTCTAATCATGCAGTATCAGTGCTTATTAGTAGCTAATTACCTTGTTATGTTTGTTGTTATTGTTAAATATCCTTTACACCTTGATTATTTCTATTACTGTTATTCTTAATCCATGCAGATGGTTTCTTATTAATTTCATATATATTGTCCACAAGTTTACTAAATTGTCATTTGTGCTTGATAACGATAAGAGGATACTCGTCGAAACGTCGTGCTTTTAGAATAAACTAGTGATTGTATCCCATAAAAACTGTGTTCTGTTAGTCACATTTCATTTATTTGGACAGTTAATATCATTGTTGACATTGTTATTAGAGGGTTTGCATGACTCTACAAAGTGAAACAAGCGTCAGAACGCAATACGCAATTATTATAAAGTGCTGAAATTTTAGGCTTCTTTGTTTTACTAATCAGCAAATGGCATTTCAATGTCAAGCAGATCGGATTGTAACTTTTGTTGTTAAAAGGCGTTCATATAATTCAACAATGTGAATTTTAATGCATATCAATTCCATACACATCGGATGATAGCTATTGTTGTTCGAGTATTCACAATATTTTACAATATGAAACATGGGCCATAACTCATAATTAACGGGAATTATTCAAATTTAATAGACATTATCGTTTTATTTCTTTAAATAATACATACAAAATTATACTATATCCTATTTTAAAATACAGATGTGACGCCATTCTTTGATGTTGGCGTATCATCATTTCAAATAATGGTACGGGCAATGTGCCAAGCGTACATTATTTATACCAGTTACAATTTTGGATCCGTGTTAAGTATTTCATTGCAAAGCACGTGCGAGTGTATGTATTTTAAGTTGTTTAATGGTCTCAAGCTTAAGCATTGCGTAATATATTGAAACAACAACTCGTGACTAACGTCACATTAAATATATTACTTAATGTTTCGCTCTCGACCATTAAACCATACATAAACCGAGCGTTCACAGGGTTCTGCAAAATGAAACAAGGGTCATAACTCTAGAAGAAATAGACGTCTCCATGTCACTAATTTAAATAAGGAGTATGACTTTCATCGAGATCGGATGATAAACTTTTGTCGTTAGAGTCCCTATAAGGTCTGTACAGCAATTAACGGAAATAGTTGAAATTCAATAGTCTGACAACATTATGTCAGAACTCGATTCACCTATTGCTGGTCACTTCTGGCTTAAAACGTTATTAGTTACACCTCTATTCACATGATACACCCATAATCAACTCTTTAGACATTTATGAACACGATAAGCATATTATCAACTATCTAGGTAAACGGATGTCCACGATTTAAATGGCTTGTTAAGTGCCGTTGCTACGACAGTGTACTATCTACGCTATATCTTCAAACAGTCATATCTTCTCTCTGAATAAAGTGATTTGAATGAACCAGTTTGTTATATTAACTGAATATCGCGCACCTTTATTGTATACAATATTTTATATTACAACAGGTGGGGATATGCAGTCAGTTTATCGAGAAATGCAATATAAATCAAGTGAAGTCAGGGGCCACTACTCCGTTTGTTTCTGTAAACAACAACTGGCAATGATTCGACCAAAACCAGCTAAAGTTAAAGACTTGATTCGTTTGCTTAAATACTGGTATAAGGTAATGCAAATACCTTATATATAATACTTGATATACTACTTGATATACTACTTGATATAATGTGTATGGAAATGACGTTGCAGATGATAACATGCATGATGCATAAATCAATAATGATTCTGACAATCATCAGGGTGAAAAAATAATGATCATGATGATAAAAATGGCAAAAGAAGAAATTATTGCAAAAATTGTTCCCTCAACGTTCTACTTTTGCAATATCAACCAATTTCAATAATGAAAAACTGTTGTCACTTTCATAAAAATAACTGCTTGAATATGAAAAACTATTAATTGATCAACTGTGACATTGTGATCGTTTTTAAGTACATGTGAGCTTATATGTATTTGAAATGAGTAAACATCGGTATATGACATTTTTGTCATATATTTTTTTTTGCATGTTTGTCACAATAATGAGGTAGTATTTAATTAGTATTAGGAGGTTTTGGATAGTATTGGATCAGTCATCCTGCCCATAATAATGAGGTAGTATTTAATTAGTATTTGGTGGTTTGGGGTAGTACTGGATCAGTCATCCTGCCCACAATAATGAGGTAGTATTTAATTAGTATTGGGTAAATCGTCCTGCCCATAGATTGTTATCACAATTGTTATTCTTTAACCAAAGAAGAAATTTCGATAATAACACCTATTTAAATAGCCAAAAGGGGCTATTTCATTAATAAATAATTATTATTGTTATTGTGTATTGCCATGTATAATGTTATTCATCATTGTATTGCCATGTATACTATAATGTTATTCATCATTACTATATTGGGCCATTTCATGATCATTTTGTTAAGCCCAACATTCATTCAGTAGGGTCGTTAAAAAAGTATGAACATTAGTGTTATTTTGCTCTTATTTTTTTGAAAAAATTTTCACAAGTTGATTTCCTTTATTTTGTAGAATGGTAATGAACTGCGCTTTTCATTTTCTTTGTTTTATTTGTTTCGTTTGAATTTGATTTATCTGTTTAGTTTTTGATTGTTTAATTTTTGTTAATGAAGTTGATTCTTTTAAACTTCGTTTTTATTTTTGAACTCTACTTGGTGTAGGTGTTCATCAGGTAATACCTCGACTGAGTTCAATATAGAGATTAGCCGGTTGATTTGTTGATATAAACCTTTGAATAATAGCGCCTAACAGGCAGCTGTGTTTAATTATGTTCTCCTGATTTTGATTGTTTCTGTGTGTTTGAAGTATATGTTTGTGATATGCGCTTAGAAACACTTCACGTGTAATGAAGCGCTATATAAATCGAACAATAATAATAATAATAATAATAATGCAAATACTTGATATTTTACTAGATATATTATTTGATATATTTTACTTTATATAATACTTGATATAATACTTGATATATAACTTGATATATTACTTATAATTGGTATATTACATTACATAATACTGTTCTTAATAAATACTTTGTATAATATTTTAGATATTGCACATGTGCATTACAATTACTTTATATGATACACATACTGTGCATACTAAATACTCTATATCATAAATAATTTATATAATACATGACATGTATATATGAAGCAATAGCTGCTGTCACTCGGTAAAGTTTATGGAAGTAACAGGGACTTCCACAGTTCGCTATATAAGTAACATTGACTTCCACAACTCGCTAGAGTTCATAAAAGCAATTCTTTGATAATTATTTCAGACCAATGGACTAGAGATGTCATCGTATTGTTGTGAGGTAATGGGGCTATATATTTTCGACACATATCTGAACAGTACGACAAACTGGTTTTTATATAGCTATTCAATTATTTAGTTCCTATAGACAACTACAGATCACAATACCTGGAATCTATAACACAAATACTTGGTAAGCTGAATTATAATCAACGTTTTATATCATCATCTTATGCTTGGTTCCCACTATCACGATTCATGCTGCGATGAGTCTGTACGCCGGTCTCCTGTCTGCGCGTCGTATCCACTCTAGTCGTCTCGTATCGGCGTCTCTGCTCGTCTCTGTAAACTCCTGCTTATAAAGCGCCCGACAATAGATAATACTCATGGTCATACATGCAATTGTCTCTTTATCACGTCATGGAATGCTTACTAACCAGTGCGTAATCATTTGAAGTCACGAAGAGCTTGTACACAGGTCATATATTATGTAGTTTGTAAAGGACACATAGGATTAATTACATGTTTAACAAGAACTGTGATGCAGTAATGACGGGTTTCATCGGTGCCACGTTACTCTTGAACTTGTGTCACGCATGGTGCCATGTTGACCTTGAACTTATGTCACTTCCTGTACCAATGGAATCGGTGAACATATTTCTACACACGCATTGCACACTTGTTGTAAAATGGACGCAGAATCAACCAAATCCAGCAATATCAATTATATTTATAATTTTTTCACCATGTGTTACATATTTCAAAAAAGTGATCCAGAAGAAAAAATTGTTTCTAACTTACCACTAAGTTAGAAATTAAAATGCGAAAGAAATCTTAAAATGTGATCTTGACAAACTTGGTTATTTCTCGACATGGGAAGGGAAGGGAAGGTCCGAGAAGCAATTTTAGGACATCTATATGATGGTATTGATCCAATCTATATGTTAATTGGAACCAAATAAATAATGTTAATTGAGTAATAATCTTTGTTTTGAAGTCTCCAAATACAGTTTTTGCCAAAATGACATTACTTCCGGTGATAACGAAAATGTTAAATTAGTTCTGTGAAATCTTATATGACATAAGGCATCACATGGTGAAAATTTCATGAAAATCGAATAATAATTGACAATTGTATAGACCAAAACCCTTGAAAAGTGACTTGTAGAAAATCGCCTATTTCTCTGCAACGGTTAAAGTTACAATTTTTCCCAAAATAACATTACTTCCGGTGATAATGAAAATCTTTAATTACTTGTAAGAAATCGTAAATGGCATTAGGTATCACATGGTGAACATTTTACGAAAATCGAATAATAATTAACACTTTTAGGACCAAAATCCTGAAAAGTTACCTGTTGAAAATCGCCTATTTCTCCGCAACTGAACAAGTTAGAAACCATATTTTGATATCTATATGATCGTATGAGTTCATTCTATTTCAAATATCAACACTTTAAGCAAATAACAAATATGACTCATTTAAATAAAATATTTGTTTTTAGGGTTATAAATATAGTTTTTGCCAAAATGACGCCATTTGCGGTGACAGTGAAAATTTTAAATTGGTTTGACCTAGTCAAAAGTGGTATTAAGCATCAAATGGTGTCACTTTTATGAAAATCCAATTGTAATTGACTCTTTTACAGGCAAAATAGCATGAAGAGTGACTAATGCAAACTTGCCTATTTCTCGACAACTACTCATATTACAAACTCATTTTTACATACATTCTCTTCGTATGGATTAATGCTACAAGAATGAGAAAGTAACGAAGAAATATCTTAAAATGTGAAAAGCCTAAATGGGTTGTGAATAGACCATTTGTGCACCTTTTTTCACCTTTAAATCGAAATGGCGCAAAAATGAAATCGAAATTAAAAAAAACTGCTTTCGACTTTTTTTTGCGCCCTTACATGACACATCTTTTTATTTTTTACTTATTTTTAAAAAGTAATACTTGCTTGCGAATAGACGTTCCTAACCGCCAAAATTGTTGAAGTTTTTGTCCGGTGTCGACAGAAAACTTTTTCGGTAATAAAAAAGTTGAGACTTTGCACCATTGAGCAAATTAACTTTGTTGTTTTATACAAATCGAGAAATAAATAGTTAACGAACCCATCAATTGAATTAGCCAATAGCGGCCAAGGTAAATTATCGTGATTTGCTTAAATCACATGACCCTTTAATTATGGGTAAAACGCCATAAAAAATATTAATAAATAAAAAGAGTTTTTTGTCAAAATTTAACTTGTCAAACTTTGGCGCCTAATATCTGCGAAGATTCGTCGAAACTCAAAAATCTGAAGAATCGTAGCTATGTGTCTTCTCTCAGACTATGTCAAAATGTATCAAATGTTAAAATCCGATGATTATTGTAAATGTTATGGCTTCATTTCTAAAAACGAAAACTTGGTTATTTCGGACATTTTACATTGTCGAAGAAAGTTCGAAATATCTTTAAACTCTAAGTCACATCCACTTTCCCAGTAAACCCGAAGACATCGAATCGATCCAACAAGTAGTTTCTGAGATATGCTCAAGTGGATAAAAACATAAGAAGAAGAAGAATCTAACCAAAAACAATAGTGTTTCACAAGCTACGCAGTGTGAAACCCTAATTAGATCATAGCCAGTTCGTGTCTTAACAGAAGTATATACAAATTTGAAAAGTCAATATAATATATTTAAGTTATATGCACCTAAATGCTCGTTCATGTACATAACTATGTCAAATTCACCAATCTGCCCCTCCTGCCACGGCTTTGGCTGAACTCGTATGAGTCCATACGCCGGTCTCTCGTCTGCGCCTCGTCTCCGCTCTAGTCGTCTCATCTCTGCGTCTCTGCTCGTCTCTCCTTGTCTCTGTTAACCCTTGCTTATATAGCGCCCGACAATAGATAAGACTTATGGTCATACATGCAATTGTCTCTTTATCACTTCATGATATGCTTACTGACCAGTGCGTATTCCTTTGAAGTCATGATGAGCTTGTACATAGGCCATATGTAGTTTGTAAAGGACATATGGGGTTAATTACATGTTTAATTAGATCTTAGCCAGTTCGTGCCTTAACAGAAATATATACAGAAATGAAACGTCAATATAAATATTATCAAAAGCAGTTTAGGTCAATAAGTTCTATGCAACTAATTGATCGTTCAATTTGATGAAAGTTATAGACTACCATGTCACTTATATCAGCTTATCTTCTCCAGTGATCCACGGTGGCTAAGTGAGTAAGATGCTGCCTCGCTAGCCTGGATGTCGCGGTTCCGCCCCCCCCCCGGTGTTAACCGAGGAATTTCACAAGGATTGTCCGGCGCGGATTCCCCTTGTCTGTGGTGCAGGATGGGTGACCCGACTAGGACAGCTGTCTATGGTACGAAAAATTGAAATCCCATGTACATATTGGTGTGCACTATAAAGATCTTTTTGCACTTGGAATTCGATATAAGAGTAGGCCATAGCACCGCTGTCCAGGCAAAATGTCCGTCCTAGCACATTCTCCTTTTAATAATATCACCATTAACAGACCCTCCAATCCCCCATATCACGTAAATATCAACATTAATAGCTGCTCCTCTTATAATAATATCATCATTAACAACTATCCCACCACTATTAATAATATCATTATTAACAACTATCCCGCCCCTCGTACCCAAATGGTGCAAAAAAAATGGTATATCAAGGTTGCGAACCCTCTAGAGGCCACAATTTTTCTTCAATTGCGATGAACTTTACATTTACGTTTATATCATCAAACACCATCTTTCTTTTTGATAATCGCACATATCCGAACGTACCTTCCTGTATTATGACCGACTATTGTTCGAAAAATCACATTTTTAGCTTGAAGACCCGCTAGAAGTTACAATTTGTATTCAATTTTCAAAACCGTTTCAATATATCACCGTTACACATCAATGAAAGTTAAGTTCAAATTTCGTAAAAATCTGATCGAAACTGACAGACAAAATGATTTCTCCTTGTACGCAAATAGTGTTAAAATATGTTATGTCATGGTTGTGGAAATCTAGAAGTCATTTATTCGATTTTGATGAAATTTGAAATGCTTGTTTATAATCCAAAGATCTCGGCCCCTGTCGATATTTCAGACCATATAGTTCTGGATTATGGCCCCTGCTTGTACGAAAAATCGCGCTTGTTTTTAGCTTGTTCTCTATCCATCTCTTGCAAAATGTGAGCATATCTTGCCCGACAATCGCTGGTTGTACCTTTACATACAACATAATTACATGCGTTTCTTTCCATCTGTTTAGGTCAAATTTTTTCCCTAAAACAACGTATGTTCTTGATCCCGTTAATCCTTTCTCCGACACATCTTCATCTGATGTCAACATTATAGAAATATGTGCTGAGGTCACTTTAGATTTGTTACGAAATGTACCAATGGAATCCAAGGTATTTTGTATTTTCTTTATTAAAAATGCATAATATAAGATTTACACAAACGCTGGCTGTTCTTGCTATAATAGATAAAATCCATTAGAAAACGCTGCCACCCGATATTCTAGAGAGCGTGCCATGTTATTAAATATTTAATTATTATTTATAAAACATGTGAAGGTCGATTTAGTTCTTACATAAGGCATAATATTTAAGCCAAATAGAAATCTGTACTATATTTATTTTTAGCCTATCTTAGTATCTATGAATAGCAGGTAAAGCTGACATCCATTGGCTAAGAAGTATGTTGACTGTCAGATTGGCCTTTTCCTATATTTAGTATAACTTCTGTTTTTCAGAGTTATGATTTGTTATCTATAGTCAGAGTGTTAGTTGATGTCGCTGCTGTTATTATACTACTTGCACTCAACGCAGCTACACAAAACTGATTTATATAAAATGTTTAATTCTTTTCTCACATTCTGTACTAAATATTAACAATATATATTACGGACACCGATATTTAGTTTGAGTTGATATCACACCTATTCACTCAGTCTCCTTGCATGCCAGCAAAGAGAGCGTAATGGTAGCGTGGTACTATCGGCAGTAAGTTGACACGCGACCATCACGCTCCTGTCATACCCACACCAAGCATTCACTACGCCTAGCGAACCCCAGTCAAGATCTTTACACTCTTGGTCAAGCTCTGGCTACGCTCATCGTGGCCCCACCATGCTCTCGCGGTTAGCAGTCAGAATGGGATACGGTCAGGTACAAAACTCGGAAAGCTCGGAAAACTCGGAAAATATTTTCCTACTTTTCCCCTCTCCGAGTTTTATGAATTGACCCGATTGAAAACACAAAACTCGGAAAACTCGGAAAAAATTGTCCGATTTTTTGTTTCAAACTGAAAAGTCGGAAAATATTTTCCGAGTTTTCTATTCAAACAAAAAAGTCGGACAATTTTTTCCGCCTTTTCCGAGTTTTGTATTTTGGCCTATACGAAGACACAAAACTCGGAAAACTCAGAAAGTGGTCAAAAGGTATCAAAATAAAATATTTTTCATTGGATATGGTGTGTAAGGGTTGTAATATGTACAAAGGAACTCAACTCGCCTTTACGGGGATAACTTGGGTGAGATCGAAAACTCGGACATCCAAATGATGAAATGATTAAAACGAGGTGTGTATATAATTTCAATTTGACACATGGCCCCGAGGCCGAACCTGCCCCGTTCTCCCATACTATATACGTCGTGTCGAGAATAGGCCTACCTAACTTTTAGAAATAAAATTGGCGAAAGGAGTGACAGTAACACATCTATTTAATAAGTTGGACATGATCTATAACCTTTTCAGTTAGATTTTAACCAAAATACTGCAATATGGCAGTTATAATTAAATATCCGAGTTTTCCGAGTTTTGTATTTTGGCCTAAACGAAAATACAAAACTCGGAAAACTCGGAAAGTGGCAAAAAGGTAACAAAATAAAGAAGTTTTCATTCGATATAGTGTGTAAGGGTTGTAATATGTACAAAGGGACTCGCCTTAGCGGGGTGAGATCGAAAACTCGGACATCTCGGACTTCCCAGCTCCGCGTTTTTAAGTCCGGGTTTTCGTTTTCGTCATAATGTCAAAACGAACGGACAGGTCCGATTTTTTCAAGTCCGAGCTTTCGTTCTGACATTATGACGAAAACTCGAACTTCAAAAATTCGGAGATGCCATTTCCAATTTTTAAGTCCGAGTTTTCGTTCTGACATTATCACGAAAACGAAAAGTCGGACTTAAAAACTCTGAGCAGCCAGGTCCGAGTTTTCGTTCTGACATTAGGGTGAAAACGAAAACTCGAACCTGATCTCACCCTATAACGGGGTAACCAGGGGCTGCCCTAAAATTTTACCCCCCCCCCCCAAAAAAAAAATAAATAAATTATCTGGAAATTACTGAAAAGTCTTAAATATGTCTGGGAATTACCTAAAAGCCTCAAATCCGTACATAATTAAAACGGTAGGTGGGGTAGGGTGAGACTTTTGTTGCCCTTCTCATTCACAGAGTGCCCTTTTTCTTGAAGAACGCGCCTACCCTGCCTCTGCCTACCCTGCCTATGCCCATCCAGCACGCCTCTGGGGGTAACTTGACATTTAGTGTATTCAAGTTTTTGTTGCTTCAAGATAGATATTCCAGAGTACTATACGTGTCGAGAATATCTAACTTTTAGAAATTGGCGAAAGAAAGAAGTGACAGTAACACAATCATATTTAATACTTCAGTTAGAAGTAGAACTCGTAAAACACGGAAGGTGCCCAAAAGGTAACAAAAATAAAATATATTTTATTGGCTATGGGGTGTAAGACTTATAAAAAGTACAACAAACTTTCAGGATTGTGTATTACAATAGATATTAATAGGGGTGTATTGTTTTTGTTATGCCACATAATTTGCACCTCGTTTTCCAGGCGAATCAGTGTCTAGTATTGAACCAGATGTGTGCAATTTGGATTTTGGGACTTTCCCACAATTTTTAGCTATCTTTTACAGTTTTGCCGCCATTTTCATTTTTTTTAAAAGCACATGTCTTGTCATTGAGACAACAATTTTTTTTTCAATATAAATGATTTTTTTTTATTTACTAGACGATTTGTAAGCAAAACATTCACACGAGCCGAAATTTTAAATTTCGATTTTGTTTTCGAAATATTCGATTTAAATTAAAAAAAAAATTAAATGGTCCATATCTTTTTACATACTTATTTAATGAACTTGGTCCTGCAGAACGAAATGTTACAATATGTGTCAGCTTTCTAACCACACCAAGAAATCTGACCATGACCTTATACTTCCGGGTTTTTTTCCGTTTCAATGTGCCACAGTCAGATATAAACATTTGTATATAACCATTAAACTTCAGTCTTGATGACCTTGACCTTTGACCTTCGGTTAGTACTATTGTACTGAATACTACGTATGTCGAAATATTTGACCTTCACCCTTAACTTCCAGTTTTATATAACTTTTGATTATAAATGTCCATGTACAAAACTTTGCTAAAATTAAAAATTACACCCTGAATTTGTATTATAATCTTATTTCAAGTTACCGCATACATTGGCCGATGACCTAATATTAAACCGAATGCTACCTGTATCGAGATATTTGACCTTGACTCTTCACTTCAGATTTTATATCCATTTTGTAAACCAAAAATACATCAGTTCTGCTTCACAGATCTAATTTTATTTTGTTACCTTTTGGTCACTTTCCGAGTTTTCCGTGTTTTGTGTTTTCGTATAGGCCAAAATACCGGAGTCGGAAAACTCGGATATTTAATTATAACTGCCACATTGCATTATTTTGGTTAAAATCTAACTGAAAAGGTTATAGATCATGTCCAAATTATTAAATAGATGTGTTACTATCACTTAATTATCCAATTAGATATTCTCGACACGTAGTACTGCCTGTGATGTATGTCTCGATGCAACAAAAGTTGAGTAGGCTACACTAAATATCAAGTTATTCCCGTTAAGGAGAAATCCGCTGTATAATAATCATATCCAATGAAAAATATTTTATTTTGATATCTTTTTGCCACTTTCCGAGTTTTCCGAGTTTTGTATTTTCGTATAGCCCAAAATACAAAACTCGGAAAACTCGGATATTTAATTATAACTGCCATATTGCATTATTTTGGTTAAAATCTAACTGAAAAGGTTATAGATCATGTCCAAATTATTAAATAGATGTGTTACTATCACTTAATTATCCAATTAGGTATTCTCGACACGTAGTACTGCCTGTGATGTCTGTCTCGATGCAACAAAAGTTGAGTAGGCTACACTAAATATCAAGTTATTCCCGTTAAGGAGAAATCCGCTGTAATACAAAACTTGGAAAACTCGGGTATTCACCTATAACTAACACATTGCATTCGTTTGGTTAAATTTGAAAGAATTAGTTACATAGATCATGTCTAACTTATCAATAGACATCTTAGTACAACTCCTTTCGCCAATTTAAAAAAAATATATATTTTGATACTTTTCCAACTTTTCCCCTTTCCGAGTTTTATGATTTGACTCGATTGAAAACACAAAACTAGGAAAGGTCGGAAACAATTGTCCGACTTTTTTGTTTGAATAGAAAACTCGGAAAAAATTGTCCGACTTTTCAGTTTGAAACAAAAAGTCGGACAATTTTTTCCGAGTTTTGTGTTTTCAGTCGAGTCGGAGAGGGGAAAAGTCGGAAAATATTTTCCGAGTTTTCCGAGTTTTGTACCTGACCCCGGGATACGTTCTCACCAGACTGCCCTAACGTGCCTACCATGCGTTTCCTGTAAAGACTTCAACATGCTCATCCCGTCCTCATTCGCCTTCAAGCAGAGAACATCAACAAAAAAGAAAGGAAAATAAACCAACAATGAAATAAAACGCGTTAATGCGTAATACCATGCACCATAACACCACACTTATGCTGGTACATGTATTACACACAGCTATAAACACAAAAACATATTTTATGCTTAGCCTTGAAAACACAATAGTTGTCATTATTCATATGTTCATAACCAATAGGTCTGTTGGCTAGACATCTTACATTACATCTATAATCATATTTCAAACACATGTAAAAATATTCTCACACTTCGCTTTCAAAGTCACCTTATATATTAAATGAAATATAAAATAATTACCTTACCCATTTGTGGAAAAGAGCCAATGCGTGACCTGAGCTGATCAGATATTCTGTAACATGTGGTAAGGATGCATGCCGAATCGTTGTGGTTTCCATTTCCCGATTGTACATGACAAGCGATAGGCTCATATTTATATGGTTTTCGGTGTTGCTTGGTTCAATTCTGATGTCAAATAAAATTTCAGAAAACGTGGTGGCAGAAGTGCAAAATATCATCAAAACCTTTACTTCCGTTATATGTAATATGTCTTATATAAGGGTTTTGATGTTACGGAGTTAAATGTCTATGTAAAAAACTAATTTTGAATAGCTCAGGTGGGATAAATTTAAAACGACAATGAAAATATAATCTAATATGCCGATTTTTGTTCTTGTGGATATCACTTGAACAATAATGTTTTTGCGCCGGGGAGAAGAGCATCCAATCTGACCCCCTGAAGTGATTACGCTTCGTGAGATTAGGTTCATGGACTTTCGGCCCCCGTCGGTCTCTGGTATCATCTATACCGATAGTAAACATAGGTTCATTTCTTTCTGTTGTTTATTTCACAAATTCCTGTGATTGTCAGAACAATATATTACTGTTGGTCTTACTGATACCCCAGTGGCGGAGTGATCTCGCTCCGCGATGGCTTCCCAGTCTATGTGTCCGGTGCGGTTCTCTGTGATCAGGTGCAAAATGTCTTTATAAAACAGTCTGTAAATGGTGCTGTACATAGTATATCATGATCAGAGCAAAATGTATTTCACTTTGAGCCCATATGCAAAATGGTGGCCATTTTTGGCGGGACATAA